GCTGACGTTTCGGGCCTAGACTAGGCCCAAAACGTCAGCCTTCCTGCTCCTCTCATGCTGCTTGGCCTACTGTGTTCATCCAGCTCTACACCTTGTTATCTCAGATTCTCCAGCATCTGCAGTTCCTACTATCTCTGTGTTTAAGAATCTGTCTAATTGAAGTACCCCATTGCAACCCAAAATGTTAAAATCCTCTGGGACAGTGGGTGAGCTCATCACATGATCTTCCACTGAATCCCGGAGACCAAGTACGTCCCATAATGGGAGAGAGCATCATTGATTTCTCTTCCTTCATGGAGAAGAGGTGCCAAGTCACAGGCATCGATGTCCCCACAGCAAGTGGGAATTAACTGGAGAACACCCACATGAAGTATGGAGATGTGTTTGCTTTCAGAAGAGAGATAATGAAACATTTTACCTAGCCTGAGAAAACATTGCATGATGACACCCAAACTCCGAAATTGTAATATTGGAAAATGATATTCAATATAGCTGCTGTCTGTAAGAGCACTGAAACTTTCTCAGCCTATGTTATTGTCAATATTGACAGATCTCAACTATGTCAGTATTTCTTAGTTCACAATGTTCATTTGGTGAACTACCAATCCTATTTGGGATTTTTTGGATGAAATGCAAAGCATTCATAACGTTCACACTGGGGAAATGGAAGCAAAAACAGATGGCAGAGGTGGGAACACTTCCAAAATTCCAAAATTCCCCACCAACACCACCACTATCCAGTATACAACAGAGCACCACTGGCTGAATCCATGAAGACAGTTGTAGTTGCTGTTGCTCTCAGGAAGTGTCCAGAGAACATTTCTAAGGAAAGGATTAAGGAGAAAGGTTGAAATCGATTACAGTGTTCAGTAGTGATTCATTTGCTGGCGATGTAATCTTCACAAGTCTGCTGTCTGATTGGGGAGTATCCCTTTACAAATTTCCAACTCTCCAATATAATTTCATGATTCCCCAGTTGCATAAGAATCTCTGAAGCATCTTGTGATGATAGATGTTGTGGAAGTGTGCTCGTAACATGAAAATACATACTTTGGGAAGGAGCCAGAAATTTTCTTGACACCACCCTGAATTTAAATTAAATTAGTTGGATGAAAATATATTCTATGGTGGACAAATGGATTCAGTTACAGATTTGGGCTTCTACAAGATGATGGGGGTAGAAGACTACAGATATTATATTTATTGTAAGGTTTGTCAGGTACTGTCTTAATAGGTTGCCCATCTCTTTGCCCACATCCCTTCATTTCGGTTAACTGGAAGTCTTCAATCCCAGATAGTTCCTATACAATGCAATATTCAGTTCTGCATCACTGAGAACCATGAGGCACTGAATTCATGAACAGAGGAGCTATATGCTCAGATATTTCATTGCTTATTTCAAAGTCTTCTTCCTCGTTTATTTTAAACAGAGCAGTTCCTTTGGCTACATCAAGGTATATTGTTTATTTTACTTTGTGAATGCCACACATTGAGATTTTATAAGATATGGTTTGGCATCTATTGCTGTAGTGGGATAAAAGGTGAGAATCTCGCACTGACTCCAAAACATAATGCCCCTTTCATCCTTAACCCATTCTATTCTACTACTGCTCACCTGTAAGTGGTAACATATCTTAAACATCATACCTTAAGCATGCCTTAACTAGCAGCTGACTGATGGAATACCCTAAATGCTCTTCCTCCATCGAATAAAAGATGACCATTGTATCACCTGGAGAACAGTAAGATTGCTTTGAATTGAAGGAAATTAGAAGAGCAAAGACTCACCAAAAAGAATTTGCCCAAAATGTTGAATTTTTAAAAAATAAAATTGCCACACTCTACCCAAGATTGCTCTAGTTAAAATGAAAGGATTCTCACCGGTTTAAAAAAAACTCATTAGAAAGTTCAAGCTCTTATTAAAATTAAAGCAGAGTTGCCTTAGCCAAAGATTATAAAGTTATTGTACAACTATGATTTTCCTGCAATACTTGTTACCACACTACTTTCCAATGAATGTGTTAGTTTCTTGTGCTTGTCATTTTAATGGAATTGTTAAGCTAACGTGCTAAACTTGCAATGCGCAATCTCTGAAAATGTGTGTCTGGGTTAAGAAGGAGCCATTTTGAAACTGTTGAAACAAAAGGGTTACGAAGCAACTGCACTTAATGTGGCGAAGATGGAAACTATGCATTTTCTTGTGATGAATGCCCTCTTCCAAATTCCATAAGATTTAAAGATATTTTTTCATTAATCCACGGATTGCTTCTGCTTCATAACTACTTGTGTTTTTTTGAAATGTATCTCTCTTACTTTTTAGAACGTAACAATCTGAAAAATTGTAAATAACTTAAAAAGATTCCAGAGTTATGTATATTATTTAAGATCTCTGTAAATGAAACCAAATTAAGGTTCTGGGCTTGTTTATTTTGAGAAAAGAGTTAGATTGATTCTTGCACTGACACTAACCTCAAATACAAAAATATCGGTAGCTCTTACAGGAAGCGTTAATGTTAACCCTTTTCACCTTTAACTATAGCGTAGGACACTTTGCAAAAATTTGAAGTTTGAAATCCTGCTGACTGGTCCAGCCTTAACGTATCTAATGTGATAAATATTCAGTGTTAGCAAAGGGAAGAGTGTTAAAGGCTCCCTGATCACTGTGGAGAGCTGAGTTTCTAAAGACCAGTAGGGTTCAATTCAATCCCTGGCCTCTTCTAGTGCACTGGGACATTGCAATTGGACACACTGCCTCTAGAAATGGGAGGGGGGGTGGGGAAACAGATCACTGTCCATTGACCCCTGCTGAGAAAGAATGCATGCGAACATCAGGGTGAGGACATTGATAGGGCAAAGCTGCAATGACACCTACCAAAGCTGAATAGTTGGTTCCTTGGGGTGATGGATCCATGCCACATGAGAAAAAGGATAGAAATATGCACCATACCCAATGGGGTGCTCTAATGCTGTACTTAGGTGGCTGCTTTTCTATGTTCTAGACCTGTTGGCAGAAAATGGTATGTGCTATACCTGAACTCAGCCCATTGTCTGCTTCATTCTAAGCCATTTTCCTGGTTGTTTCTGTCCCTGGTGGGTTTTCAATTGCCTGGGAGTGAAAAGCAAGTTGAGAATGCAGGTGATGGGTCTGCTTCAGTCAGAATAAGACAAGCCCCTGCTAATGGTGTTATTTCTAAGCCACATGCTAGCCACCTGAACAAACTTACTCCATCCATTTAGCACTGCAATTGGAAAAGACAGGCTGCCAAGCAAATTTTTGATCATTATTCAGGAATGGAATATGGGCATCACTGTCTAGACCAGCATTTATTGCCCAGAGGTCACTTAGAAGTTAACTGCTGCGGTCTGGAGTCACATGTTGGCCAGATATCGCTACATACAGGTGTCATTAGATGGGGTTCCAAGTAATTGGACATCTCGCCTCATTCTGAACTTAAGCTGAAATTTCATTCTTCCTGCTGTTGAAAGCCATCTCTTTTCCACCTCTACAATTGTCCTCTCCCTCAGCCGTCTGCTTCCATAACTCTCATCACTCCATCCTCACCTCGTGGATTCATTTTCCAAGTGATCATCTTGCTTGTCCTTCAGAGCCTATAGTTCTGAACCTTCCCTTCACAAACAGTCACTCACCCATCTGTTTCTTTATTCCTTTTCCACTGCCCCACTTGCTTAGCTGTGGTGGCTCCCTGGAAGATTCATCTCAGGACTCATTCCAAAGGGAAGCAATCTGTTCTCTGCAAAGGAACAATGTGCAGGGTTATCGGGGAATGGCACGAGGTGAATTGTTGATGCAATGAGCCAGTGCAGGCACAATGGGGTGAATGGTTTCTTTCTGTTCTCTGGCAATTCTGTGAATTTCCCCATGCTTTTGAATCCCTTCCACTCAATTGATGCGCACAATGTGAACTTCCTATAGTCAAATACTCCCATTTCTTCAACCTGGAAGCCTGCCTCTATCCTCCAATTGTCACTGACAGACTAGATTCCTCAATCATTGCAACTTAATCCTCAGGAATACTCTTTCTAAAGCCAGTCCATCTATTTACCTCCTTTCCTGCCACCGCAGGATCCTTCAAAAAGCTTCATATTTGATAATTGTGCCTGCAGTCTCTTCCCTCAGCAAAGTTCCTTTCTATATAATTGATGCCTAATGCCTGATGTCACCGCTTTCCATGCTAAGCTTGCCATCTACCTCTGTATAATTAGGTGTCCTCTTGCCCTCTTAATTTGTACAAGTCTTTCCCCATATGTAAAGTGCACTTGAGACATTTCTCAATATAAATACAAGTTCATGTATATAATTCTATATAAATAAGATTCTGTTCAGGAATTGCTGTTGCATCTCACCTTTTTTGTACTCAGTCAGTTGCCTCTCTGGTATCTCGCTGTTGTTACATGAATGATGACTAAATGAATGATGGAATTATTGGAGCTTTATTGCTCAAGTGAAGAAAAATGTATACATTAGCATTTTCCTGTAATAAAGAGATTAAAATGTCAGCCTATTTAAGAT